CTAATACTTGTTGAAATACGAATCATATAGTTAGCAGTAAATTTGATAAAGGCAATATTATTATTGCGACACTTAACTGTGGTTTCCAGATAAACTTATCGAGTGGATATTTTATCTGTAAATTTTGAAATGCTAACGTTTGATTAGCAAGTGTTTTAACAGGCTTTTAATGTTGCCAATTGTATGAACAAAAATAGCTATAGTGTTCAATTTTTTTATTTTATGTGTCCTTACCCCAGCACAAACAAATTGGGTATGTTTAGAGTGAAAAATGTATGTGACATTTTATACACAGCCTAATATTTAAGTGTTGTAACGGTAACATATCCGTAGAAATATCCGTGCCAATGTATTGCCGGCCAAAAGCATCGCTTGCCTTTGTAAACGTATACTTACATATACATTAGAGGTGGGAAAAGTATAGTTATCACCTTATAAAATTGTCTAATAAATCAATATTGAATATTGATAATATAATTAGAAATAATTATTTTCATTGAATTTGAAAATACAACCCGATTGATAAGCCACATTGTATTTCCAATACTTTAAATTTTAAACATATTCATATTCAAGCCTAGTGACCCGCTCTCGCGTCATTCGGTGTTGCTGATGATGAAAACCGCAAATAAACCCCCGAAAATAAGAGTAGTTTTTTAAATTAACATACAAAGAGACACGCGGCGGGCAACTTTGTTTTATCAAGTAGTATAATATTCGGCCTAAAGTTTATAAGTAATCTATCATGAAAATTTGACGCTGGAAAATGGATGTGACATTTGACTGTACTTCGATAATGTTATAATATCAACTTATATTTTGTAATCTAATATTAACAATATAGAAAAACTTTTTATTATGTTCTTTCTCACCTCATTACTTCATAATTTATGATTCCTTTGTACTGGTTGCGAGCGAGCAACGAAAGACAATGCTGTCCATAGTTTTAATACTTTAGTCAGAAGGGTGTGAAGGAGTGAGAAATCGATTTTGATATTTATTTCTATGTCTACTATGTTCTATTTACGCCTCTATATAAGTAGAATATTTTGCTAACATGAAAGTGTTGTGAGTTACCAAGGAATTTGGTGTTCCAAATATTTTTTTACCGATATTAATGTTCGGATACAGCATAGAGTATAAGTGCATAAGTGCTTTAGTTATTATATCCGTCGAAACAGCTGTCTTTGCAACTCTATACTCTGCTCTCTTATACATATTATTGTAACAAAATTTTCGCACAATAAAAACGAACTTATCTGAAGTGTTTAAGGCAGATTTTCATTGTTCCAAGAACTGTTGTTATAAGTAATTCTGCAGGCAGGGTAGACAGATTTCTAGGCCATCCTTGAAAACACTTGGTAGACCAAGTTTTGATAAAATATAATCTTAGAGCTTCCTTCGAAAACTTTCCAATTGGTGTTAATTTTTAAATGACGCCATTTCAACGGATATTCTATCGTTTGAGATATACAAGGTATATTTTAGCATATCTCATAATTAAACACTTTTTGAGGGTTGCTACAGAAAAGGATTGATGTCAAATTTAAAACTGCTTCTTTTAGTGTTTTTCATTGATTTAGTGAGTATTTTTTTTTACTATATTTAGTCAAGTTAATCATATGATTCTCAAATCGTTCATTGCCAAAAAAACATCCAGGTATTTTATAGTTTATATTAGAAAAGTTATTTGGTTTAACGGTGAAAGGCAATTTTGTAAAACTACTGGTTTTATTAACCTCTATGGCAAATGTAATTCCTAAGTGAATTTTAAGTATATTTGTAATTATTTAAAATTTTTACAATGTTACCATATAATATGTAGAGTAACAAAAGCCTTTGAACAATTATTTTTCCATATTTACAGATGAAAATGGCCAAAATAGATTTTATATATCTTTAATATATTTTTTGAATAGAAAACATCATTTATTAATCTGAAACTTTTGTAGGAATTTTAAAGTTGAAATATTATTTGATATTATAAGACTTTTTTTATATTAATATAAGTACTATTTTTAAGTTGTTAATTTTATAAGTAAATTTATGTAAGATGTTTTTAGCCTTTTTTTTGTGGTTGGTTAGGTTAGTAACAAAAACTGTTTTTTTTTTAATTACCGAAGGACTTTTTATGATTTAACGATTGTTTTTACGTTTAAGAATTATTGTTTAGGTTCTAATTTGTTACTCGGCTATCATGGTAATTTAAAATCCATTCATAGAAGTAATTAATTTTTATTTTTTTGTCTTTTTCACCGAACATTGTTAGCTTTAATTTATATATATATATTTATTTAAGTTTTAACTAGTCTTGATTTAGTGATCTCCGGTAACATAGTAAGTTATGATGTCACTACACCCTAAATAGCACACCACCTCACCCACACTACTTAGTTCCATATCAAATCCAATGGCAACTCATAATTTAGTTCAAATAAAAACTTATATGTTTTAACTCCGATTGTGCTATGCTCTACGTATTGGCAATCATCGTGCTCATTATCTTGGCAAAGAGTAATTGGCTAGAGCGTGTAAAGGATGGGAGTGTTGGCCCACACATTTGACACAGATTAATGTGCGAATGATATGTGATGCCGACACTTCACTTGGCTATTCGTGTTTGCTATTAGTAAAATTGAAATAAGTCTGTCTTTATCATGCTTTATAAGAAATGAGAAGGACAGACTGATGTCAAAGTCACAAACGCGAACAGCCATTTGAAGTGCCAATATTACTATTATGACTGTTGTGTACACATGTTGGCTGAGCATGAGGCATAATGATTGCGAGATAATTGCCAATCTTCAGAGCTGCATTTATTTCTTCTCCTTTAAGCAGATTCTTTTATTGATGACAATCAAAAAGCTTGGGTATAGGAACTGTAAATATTACAGAGCTTTTATCGAGAATTTCCACAATTAAATTACAATGATAGCGAGTAACAGATTCTTATGAAGTAACGGTCGCACTAAGAGACTAAAACTTTTTTTTTATAGTATAATATCTGTCACATTCTTTACGATATCATTAAAAGTCAACGCATCATTAAATAAACTATAAAGGCGTCTCTACATGCTGCCATTACAGTCATTCAGTTGAGAATGTAGGATAGGAATATTGTGATGTCACGAGTTTATGATAATTATTTTTTTATTAATACCAATCTTCTTGTCTACCAATTGTTAGCAGATCAAATAAATTAGTTAAGAACGATGTCGGATTTTTTATTAATTACCTACCTACCTAATTAATAAGGGCACTGCAAAATGCTGTTGATTTTATGATTACGAAGTTGATGTAGAAAAGTTCTATCTATCACTATGAAAAAAACTTAATCTTACTAATATTATAAAAGTGAAAGTTTGTATGTTTGTTACTTAATCACTTAAAAACTACTGAACGGAGTAAGTGTCGCCGCACACGGGCCACACGCCACAGCCACTGACGCCGCCACGAGAATCTAGTAGCGGCTACTAAAGTGGCTGAAGCGCGCGACAGCGGCCGACTGAGGTAAGGGGGAGAGGGGTGGGGAATCGCGCGAGTGACGTGTGGCGGCGTTTTGTATCGGCGCATTAAGTGACCGGTGCGGGCCACAAGAAGCGAGCAACGACGATTTGTAGCGTGTGGCGGACACCGGCGTACCGGGTGTGGCGAATCCATATAAAATGTATGAAAACTACAAGAAATATGCCGGTGGCGGCGTTTTGTGGTTGTGGTCGGTGGCCAGTGTGCGGCGACACTTAGATTAAATTGGGACGCATATACCACTTATTAATAAACAAGGAATAAGCTTAGATTAGTAACGCCGTAGTTTTATCATGTTACTCAAATGCCATTTGTCATACAATAGACAGAGACAAAACATTAATAAGGAAGATAGAGTTTATGACCTGGATTGAGACAGGATACTTTTCATACCTGAAAAAGATCAGGTTCCTGAGGGATTCTCAATAACGGGTAAGAATTCTTGGGCAGCCGCTAGTAAACATTTTTGCGAGATTGGGCATTTCCTTCAAACATCTTATTGTGCTTGATTGAAGGTAGCAAACTAAGGCCTGTATTACAGAATGACAACTAAGTGTTGATCTTTACTTGAGTACAGTTAGAAAGGTACTTAAGTACAGTTAGAAAGGGATATCGCTATGTGCTATATATAGCGACATCCCTTTCTAACTATGCTCAAGACTAGATCAATCACTGAGAATCTTTCTATAATACGGGCCTAAGTGTTTGTTGCATACAAAAGAACTGCTCTAGTTGACGCTCTCTTGCGGGATTGATATTTCTGCTACGACCTTGATCCGGACATTTACGTATAAATTCGGCCGAATTCTAACCCTAAGCAGAGCAACCTATAGTCACAGTGTCGATCAGTAGCTGGTTATTATAGTAAAACTTTTGGTACATAATTGCCACAAAAAAAATCGGTCGTCTTCAGCTCGTCGCGTTACATTGGAAATTGTTTTAAAACAAATCAGACCTTTTCAAGAAGCATCTTTGGTTCAATGGCTTACATTTTTTTTAATTTAAAAAGTTTCGCTTGCAATGTGGTTACACAAACCGAACCAATTTTTTATTTTAATATATCAACTTTCTACTATTTCAGTCTTTGAGGAGCCCGCTGGCTCGGTCATTAGCGCTTGATCTGCCATCGTGGAAGATAAGCAAATTTCGCAGTGGCCGGTCCTAAGATGGGTGACTAAAAAACTTATTTTTTTCGAGCTCCTACGTGCCTTGTAAGCCGTGTTAAGCCTTTTGGTTCCGGCTACATCTGCTGCGTTTAGCACGGGGGTGTATTTACCCTACCAAGAGTCAAAGCCAAGAAGGCCAAGGCCCGGGACGGTAGGCTACGAGGGGCGGCTGCAAGAGTTGTAGGTGGTGGCAGAAGCCATATGAAGGCATTCTTTAAATGCCCTATACATATTTTGATTAACTAGTACTTGGTGGAAATTATATTTTTTACATTCCTTAGCAAATGAAACGCACTAGGTTTTTAGACTATTGTTTTTATTACAATATGATTATCTAAATGGCACGTAAGATGTAGTTTACTCCAGTAGCACACAGTTGGTTGCAGATCAGTTTTTCTGAAACGAATTGAGAGTTTTATTTTTGTCATGTCATCTACTTATATTGGATTCTAAGTTTTCTAGTATAAATAAAAAATATATCAAATAAAATATAGTTGGTACCTGGGCAATGCTTCTCAAATTGTTATGGTAATATAAGGAGTTAAAAATTTATTTTTATAGAGTATTGTCATTTAAAATATTTTTACCTAAACAGGCCATATGCTTGTTTACCACCCGTTTCACATAAAAAAAAAAACTTGAATGCCTAGCTATATAAAATGAGGTACTCGATAGCGCATGTTAACACGTTAGCACGTTGGGCCAGTGATCGAGGAAGTTTAACTTCCGCAAGGGTCGGTAATAAGATGGGTGACCAAAAACTCATTATATCGAGCTCCTCCGTGCTTCTTAAGGCACGTTAACCAGTTGGTCCCGGTTGCATAGCTGCAGTTGTGTTAGCAATCGGCACTGGGCCTGATCATGTGGCCCTGTATTCCTATTCCATCCTTAAGGAAGGCCTGTGCCCCAGCAGTGGGGACATTAAGGGGCTGATGATGAGGATATGACATGAAATATTTTATTTACCGGTACAGCTGTTTGACACGGTGATCCCTTCCTCACGAACTTGAAGAGGGACTCCGCCATATTGCCAGGAGTTGGGTTTGTGCACTTCTCCAGCTCTTTTACGATACACGTCGTCAACTCATCAAACTTTCCGCATTGCTCCTGAAAAATAACAACATATAGATATAAGTATTTTCAACACTCACACCAATTAGCCTAGCCCCAAAGCACTATAAGGCTTGTGTTATGGGATACTATGATAACGGATAGAATACATATACTGTACATATATAAGTATATTTATATAGAAATACATATTAAACATCCATGACTGGAGTGCAAATGCTCGTATTCATCACACAAACATCTGCCCCCACGTCATGATGAGGTCGTCATTCAGTATTCAAATGTAAATTAAGTATTCACTCACGGAATTCACTACTCTTTTAAGAGGGTTGGGTTTGAAAGGAAAGCATAGAATTGACCCGCTACTTAGAACTAACTTTCTTTGGCTCAATCTCTAACACACGCACACTAAGTTACGGTGCCATTGAGCGTTGCCATTCCACATCAACTCATTTGCAGCTTAAGAATGGCTAGAAGAATTTCGACGCGGTCCGTGAGGGCTGTAGTAGCATAATTGGTCAGTGCATTCGCCCGGATTGTGAAGGGTGCGGGTTCGAGTCCCGTCTGCTGCCTGGTCCGCGTGGAATTTTTTCTAGTTATATTTTCTTTAGATCATACCTTTTTTTAAAGCAGGCAAAACCTCTATTTTCAGACGTTGGCGCCCTTAAGGGGTACACCAACGAACGGACCTCACACCTTTTTTTTTGTTAACGCAGGCAAAACCTCTGTTTACAGACGACGGCGCCTTTAAGAGGCACACCGCCGAAAGAGGAACCTCACACCTGGCCCACTGAGGACCCCGTAACTCTTACGGACGCTTTACGGCATAATATTCGCTAAAACCCTGCGAATACCCTCTAAGCTGCTTAGTAGCCTCTCGCAAGTCTCACGGGTGCGAAACGGAGAAGCCGTTAGGCAGGCCGTGCGGCTTACGAGCGCTTAGGGCATACTATCCGCTAAAAAAACCTGCGAATACCCTTTACGCTGTTAAGTATGGAACCGCGAGATCCCCGCTGTGGGACTTCACCGCGTCTACATCCACTCATACTTAATCGCCGCAATAGGTGTTTCGCATCATCTTTAGGTATATAAAACTGTACCCATATTTCCTTTGGTCATACCATAACTTGTGAACATCTGCACCGATTTAGTCCATCTTTTTCTAAGTTTTTAGGGAACAAAATCAGAAAGTTAACTTTCAACTCTACCTTAAGGCGCAATTACACATGGTCGTTAGCCCGTATTCGGGTGCACAAAAGACATTACTCGATTTCGGGCACGTTTCGTTTCGTTTCGGCTGCGATCGTTGAAGTTAAGCAACTTTCGTAGTGGTCGGTCATTGGATGGGTGACCAAAAACCAACTCTCAATATCTCAACTTCGTCCGTGCTTTGAAAGGCACATTAAGGCGTTGGTCCCGGCTACATCTGCAGTCGTTAGCACCCGTCAATCCGCACTGGGCCCGCGTGGTGGGTCATGGCCCAATCTTCCTATTCCATCCATAGGGAATGCCTGTGTCCCAGCAGTGGGGACATTAATAGGCTGATGATGATGACTCATGTTCGGGTACTGAAACACGGGCAAATGAACTTGCACCCGCGTTCTAGTTGGTACGTATCTCAGTGATGCCAGATTGGGGGAACCAAAATGAATGCGGACGTACTAGACTCCGTTCATTTACACTTAGTACCACTAATCACACTAAAATATTATAAAGGCGAAAGTTTGTGAGTGTGTATGTTTGTTACTTCTTCAAGTCTAAACGGCTGGAGCGATTTTAATAAAATTTGGTATGGAGTTAGCCGACACCCTGGATTAACACATAGGCTACGTGTTACTACGGGAAAATATCCCCAATAAAACGCTGCTAACACCGCGGGGTTCTGCTAGTATTCAATAAGTTTACTACGATCTAAAGAACTTACGGCAAGCGGCAGACTCTTGGCGGCCTCAACGTTGGGTATGCTGTCCCTGATTTTCTCTCCACAGGCGCGAATCTCACCGGCCTTCTCTTGGAAACACTCGGGACCGTTCTCAGCAATGAACACTAAAAACAAATTGACAACGGTGAATAAGCAAATCAGGGCGCCAGACAAGGGTCATATTATTTGGTTTTTATTCGCGACTCGCAACTAGAGCCGTTAACTTTTAAAATGCTAAAGGATGATTGCCGCTGTATTAGACTGGGCATTTCATTTCACCAGACATTTGTCCGTAAATTAAAAGCTACAAATGACCAGCCTGGTCAGTTGTAGCTTTTAATTTACGGAAAACTAATTAACTTAATTGTGATGCTACAAGCACCACTTGGGCATTACTAGGCCGTGGAGATCTGGATACATTTAATTATGGGGCCATTTTATTTTACCTTAGACTATTTTCGCAAGTTTTTCACTTCCCTCCCCACTACGTAAGAATAGTCCAACAGCCACCCCCCTTTATATTTATTGCGTAAGAATCGGAATAAATAAATACCTACATGTTTGATTTGTTCTAATGACTTGACTTGACCCAGCAATTATGACTTTAATAAAATCTTATTAAAGTCATAATTGCTGGGGCAACGGATAGATTTGAACTACATGACCCACCACGGGGGCGAATTTTTGGTGAATGGCAAGGGCATTATGCGGCAACGCCCTACCTAAATTACCATTGCCCTACCTTAAAACGGGGTGGCTCACCCCTGGCTATGCCCTTTCTTTAATAACTGCTGCCCTATCTTAAATACAACATTGGCTACGGATCTGGGTAAACTATGCCTCTCCTATTAATGTTAGTGTGCTCAAGTTTACTTACAGGCAATCCTATCGCCGTCTTTGTAGCAGATGAAGTCGATGAGCTGGTCCGTGGCGTTGTTGATGGAGCCCACCTGTTCCCGCACGCTGGTGTCCAGGCATGGAGCAACCGAGTCAATTATGTTGTGGATGCATGTCTTCAACTGGGGAGACTTAGCGCAGTACCTTAAATTTTAATAAAATATTGCACAAAAAAGATATCGCAGATTCTTTTTGATGAAAATGATAATATTTTATTGACAAAAAGGTGATAGTAAGAGGCCTACCGCTATAGTTAGTATAGGAGCAAATACATTAGGTATTTGCATTGTGGCAATATCTAAAAATTTCTGCTATAGCTTACGTACCCACATACGATACGTTGATTGGTTAGTAGACACAATGGGCAGATTATTGAATTTTGGACAAAATCATCAGTGACTCATAAAAAGTAAATAATTCCAGTTAGTGGAATGGACAAATTAGACAATTTGCGATACTTAACTTGTGGCTCATCTGCGTTCAGCAGTGGGTCTCGTTTTCTGCTTTTAATTTCAAATATCATATTTAAGGACCCGTACCTTAGTTACTAGGTAACAGCTAGTTACTGAAAAAAGCTGAACTTACTTGCCGAAAACCTCATCGAGAGCACCGTTGGGCTTAGCTTCTTCAATTTCCTTCTTGACCGTTTCGAAGTCGAAAAGTCCCTTCACGCATTCTACGAAATTCTTGCCAGCATTCTGAAATCCACAAAAAATAGGTAATATTATTTTTATTGGCTATCTCGATGAAACAATGTTTAGCGCGTTTGGTCTGTGATCGTGGAAGTTAAACAACTTTCTCTATCAAGTAGGGTTACCAAGAATCTATTTTCACGAGCTTCTCCATGCTTTGGAAGGCACGTTAAGCCATTAGCCTAATAGCCTTAACTGCATCTGCCTGTGATCGTTAGCGACCACCAATTCGCACTGGGGCCGTTTTGTGGGTCATGGTTCAATTTCTCTTCTCCAACCACAGGGAAGGCCAGAGTACTAGCAGTGGGGACTAGGACTATTAATAGGCCATATTTTTAAAATTCTCCTATTCTGGATTGAGAACGAACTGACATTTGGCTTTTCTCGGCTTACGGTCGATGTGCTGCGCTGCTTGCAGCTTTGCAAATTTGCAAGGTGAGGAACAAATAAAGCTAGATAATACCAATTTTAGGGGAAAATGTCTAACATAATTGAGTGGTAAGTTAACCTTTTCAATTTTAGGAGACGGTGTGTTTCAATAATCCATTTGCCTACGTACGATCCTGGAACACATTGGTCACATTGCCAGGAAGAATGACGACAACCTGGAGCGGTTAATGGCTTGCAAAGTAGAGGGAAAAAGACAACGTGGAAGAAGCCCGACACGTTGGACTAATCAGATCCGCGCCGCTCTCTATACCACAGTTCACGATGCTATATACTACGGCGTCACGTAATCCCCAACAAACTTTTACAGCGTGGAGGTTGTCACCACCCACAGCCAGTGCCGTCTTTGAACTATTGGAGGCCCTGGGCATATTAGGATAATGGGGCCCCTATGACTTCCGTTTGGTGATTTAACAGGAATTAGGGACTTTGTATTTGATCTGAAGGAGCCCCCTATCGATCGCGGGGCCCTGGGCACTTGCCTAAAGTGCCCACTGAGAAATGCCCACAGCATTGAGCAAACCGAAGCCAGGAGGAGGAAGGTGCATATTTTGCAACGAGTCGAGGGGACTCACTCGATGCGGAAATCGTTGTGTGTGGAAGGAAATCCTTAGAGGAAGCCTATGGTTAGCAGTGCAGCTGAAGATGTTGATATCTTTGATTTTATACACACCTGGATAGAGCAATCCATATAAAACACGCAAAGAAAACGACTCATGTTACGATCAAAGCGTGCGTGACTAATATCACAGATTGTTTGAAAGCAGTAAATGGGTGCGTGTGTAGTGGCTACCGTATCTACCATATGTAGTAGATAATATAATCATAGGTTGATAATCATGTTTTGTTACCTCCACTTCGTCCACTTTATTTTCGGCACCATTCTTCTTGCACTGTGCGCTGATCACGTTCTTGATCGTTTGCCTCTGGTCGTCAGACACCTGATATTCGGCCAGCACACCTTCAGACAGAAAAAGTTGGTATGAACACCCATAATTTCGTAGCAAATCACATAGGTAATTGTATGTCAGACTCCCGTTATGGTTTGGGAGCGAAAGAAAACATAGGATGCGCTTAATTATTACTAATTTCGGAATCTTAACTAGAATAAACAAATTAAGTCATTGGTTCATTAGTTAATATTTATTTTCACGAAGAACGAATTCTAGGTAATAGTGATAATTTTTTCTCCCACCCTATTAAGATAAGCGAATACTTTTTTGTTTATATTAAACCTCGATTCCTGGCAAATTAACACGACACGACAAACAATATAATCTTTAGTTTGTTGCCCTCATTTGACTCGTGACCTATTATCTAATTCGAGGGGACATTTCCACTTGAACTTATGCCTCTTATCATGAATTAATACATGAACAAAGAAAGATAAACACAATGCAGTAAATATACTGGGCTACAATGACAACGGGTCCGGTTAGCAAATGCTATTATGTAAGTACCTATGTAGGTAGGTACACTTAAGTGTTTGAGAAATTCTTTAAAAATAAAATACTTCATTTATTATATTAAAGTCTATTTCCATAGAAAATATAAGAAGAAGTAAAAGATTTTTCGTTTTAACGCAACCTAGGTATATTGTAAAAACAAAGACCATATCTCAGCGGGGTGTATGCGTATCTCATAAATCGTAAAGGTAAATAAACAGTTAAATTTTTCTCGGAGCAGGTAAGTAGGCATTTCTATTTTGGCTTATCATGTCGGTCACTATGACAAATGATCGTTAAATATTAAAAATAAAATACATAATAGGGACCCAAATGTTTATCGTCGTTATTTGTTAGACCCCTTGATTACCATTTGATTATAAAATCACTGGTTAGACCATTACATTTAAAAAGAAGGGGCTTCAAGCAAATAGTTATAGGTACTTATTTCATATGATTTCCCGACAGAAATACAATACCACCCAAAGGTAGTGCGACCTCATTGTGCTTTTCTGTGCTGTGGAGGTTACTTCCCTGGACTACCTTTTCTGTGTTCCGTGGGCGCTCCATTTCGAGCGGAAAATGCTGCGTTTCCAGCTAGTGCTCAGAATAGTTCCAATCGAGTAAACATTTGTTTGCTTCTGTAAAATAAAATCCCACTTCCGATTTCGGTGGCTGTTATTTTAGTCATTATTTTAATATGTAATACGCCATTACACGGCAAAATCGCTACGTCTGGTAGAAGCACAAAGTATTAGATATCTGACACTTGTCAGAATCGTAAGTGCAATTGCATCTTACAGAATACCTATATGTTGTTCTGAGCGCAAGTGGAAACGCGACATAATCCGCTATACTACTTTTAATAAAGGTTACTTATTACGTCTTAAGCGTCCAATCCATAACATTATTCGCATCATTTACAGTCATGGAACTGACTGATCGACTTGATAAAGTTAATTGATAAATGGGATCATGCACAGGAAGAGGGGTTCAGTTACTGGTTTAGTACCCAGGCAACACAGAATACAATGTACGAATGTATATTTCGATAGAAATGCCAACTTATGAATGAACTCACAAAGTCGAAAGTCAAGCGCACTTGTCAACACTGGTTCTAACGTTGCTGCCGTCTCAAAGATGCATTTGATGCAAAGCGGAAATAAAAAATATTGATGCGAATATGGTAATGTCTGCAAGTAGGATATTACCTAGAGAAATATTTTAACATACAAAGTTAAGAACAGTGTGTTAAGCTTTTGTAATTTAAATAGTTCTATGTAAATAACTAATTAAAGAAAAACTGTTTATCTTATAATTTAATTATTATTGAAATGGGTACCTAGGCAAGATGGATTTAATAACTAACGATTTTGTTACTTTAAAAATTTTCAAACAGTTCAAACAAAAAACATACAAACATATATACAAAATACATACAAACAGTTTAGTATACAAAAAACATAAAATATTATAACTAACAAATAAGTAAGTGAAAATGAAACACATAATATTTAAATCACAACTCAGACCGTTTTATTTCATCTCAGACTCCCAAAACACTTGTTTGATAGTTCGGATTTTCGTATAAGTACCTACCTTATCTAATCAAATATTTCGCAATAAAGTAATTTATACTAAAAGCTTTTTCGCAAATGACCAAACCGACTATAGTCGCTTATTAACTATACTCAGGCTTTCAGTTTGCACTACCTTTAACTAATATAAAGGATAAGTTATAAATTTTCTTACAGTAACTCAATTTTCAACTTACCGAGCGCTAGGCAAACGACGAAAATGCTTTTCCACAACATATTGAGCACTTTACTGACGCGATTCACTCTGGGATCCAGTGTGTACTGATGCGACAATTATTCCTTTATCGAGTTTTATACTAACTAAAGGCATGAGGAGTCATATGGAAATTATACTGTGACCACTCGAGTAGGAATGTCGAGTGCTTTTGTCATTGTTGCATTAGTGAGGGGTAAATGAGATGGCAAATAAGTCTGTCACGTGCCCTTGTTTCATTAAGTACATATTATGGGGTTTTAGTTGTAGCTTATCTTGATAAAATTAGCTTTCAAAATGATATTTTATTTGATAATGTTTTTGAAATTTCTAAAAGATTTCGAAAAAAAAAACATAATAATTAACACTAATTAATAACACATATTCAAGTCCAAGTACACCTTCTGACGAAAGTTCCTAAAACATTATCTAAAGGAATTTACTTATGTGTTTAAAATAATATTGAATTAGGTATATATCGATCTGTTTGTGCTGTTGATTCTGTAAATTCAACAAGGTAAATTCAAAGATAGCGTCCCCAAAAACAAAATGAAATACAGGTATGTGAATATGGCAAAACGAATAATATGAATTGGAAGATTTCTTTCATTGTGGGCTAATTTAGTTCATTGTAGGTAGTTATGAAGATACGGCTTTCGCGCTTAAATTGTGGAGCATGACCACAATTCGCTTTAGTCACAATTGGACGTTCAAACACGCTGCATGTGCACTCAATATAACAATATTGCGTATTAAAATAAAACTAGTTTTAATGGGTTAATGCACGAACTGTATTTATTTATTGACGTTTCGCAGCCTTTTCAGGTCTGCATCGTCAGAATGCTAAAGTTCGTGCTTTAACCCGTTAAAAACTAGTTTTATTTTAATGAGTGATGTGCGTGAAAACCTAAGAAACAAATAATATTGCGTATATTCTGTGTTATAAAGATAAAACAATGATTGTTATATAAAGAACACATATAGTTCAAAATCACATAACAAATGCCTCGGCAATACTTTTCATTAGTAAATCTGTAAAATCATTTTTTTCTCAAAAATTACATTTACATAATCTACATTTTATTATCAAGAAAAGGACAAGAATACAGCTCAGCCGCACGGACTCGGAAGCGGACTCGCCGTTTAGCTCGCGCTGCATTGAAGAGTTTAGTTGCGTCTCGCTCGCTCGATTGAATGTTTATATACAAACGTGTGCGTGTGTGAAAGTTGCTTATGAAGTTGAGTCGGACTATATTTTATTTTATGCTAGTATGAGCGTACCGTATCTTTCCTTTTTGTTTTAATCTAATTTAACATGAAAATTGAAAACGTTATGAAATAACCTTAACCTTGTTTCACAAGGAACATGATAGCAAATCCCGGTAATAACTATAATGTTAGTGACTGTACATTTTAAACAATGTACTAACAGCACTGTTCATAATTTTCCTTTTAATCTAGTTATGTAACCAATTAAGTGTTATCCACAATAGCAGTATACGAGAATTCTTGAATATAAATAAAAAAATGAAGTTACGTGCATTTTAAATAGGTACTTACATAGCTTAAAAAGGTATTCCAAGCGCTAAGAGAATTGCTAATGTTTTATGATTGACTAGGTCTATAAATTCTTGAATTAGTTATATATTTTTTACTGTTGAAATAACTCGGTATCTAATGAATTATTGCTGTGAGTGTAATTAACAAAGTATAATTGCAATTCATGAATGCATTTAAAGAAAATGTGTATTTAATTTACACCTTATCCATTAAAAATTTCTAAGTGATCAAAAGCAGTCAAAATTTTAAAAATCAAAAGCAAGTAGATTTTTTAAAGCCGCATCGTTATTTAACTCTCGTCATTTTATTGAAAAAGAATATTTTAACATTTTTGATGAGATCGTCAAATAAGAAGATCTATTTATATCATCATCATCATCAGCCTATTAATGTCCCCACTGCTGGGGCACAGGCCTTTCATATGGATGGAATAGGGAGATTGGGCCATGACCCACCACGCAGGCCCAGTGCGGATTGGTAGGTGCTAACAACGATTGCAGATGCAGTCGACCAACGGCTTAACGTGCCTTCCGAAGCACGGTGGAACTCGAGCTAGAAGATTTTTGGTCACCCATCCAATGACCGACCACTGCGAAAGTTGCTGAACTTCATCGATCGCAGTCGAACGCGCTAACCACCTGCGCCACCGAGCTCTATTTATATAAATATTTTTAATTATGTTTTTTTTTATGAAATATAGTTACTTAGATACGTTGAAATTATATTATTTAGCTAAGGTTTATTTCTCCCCTGCTTCCTAAGTGTTTAGAAGTTTACAAAATATGATTTGTCTTTCATATTATAGAATTATTGTAAAAACTTAGTAGTTACTACTTAGTAGATTCACTAACTAACGATGTTTTTCAATCAGTTTTCAAATCTCGTTATTAATTTTTTTAACCCATAAATATGGCTTAAGTTTTCTTTTTGCCAATTACCACGTAGAAAAAAAGAATTTTGAAGTGAAATTCTTTTCGGACGGGGTGTAAATGGAAATATCCTATGGATAAGATGAAACGGAAATGCGTCACGAGCGTCACACGACTATATATATATATATGGGTTATTTATATTAGGTCCTTAAATATGAAATTTATAAGATAATGTAATTAACAAATATACTATTATCTGATACAAGCTTAAGACAAAAAATAATTAAATATATACTAGAACAATGAACCTAAACCTAAAAACCTTAAAAAATAAAATATAATAACTAAAATACTTTATTTAAAGGAGTCCCTTTAGGCAAGGTTCCGAAGATACTGGCAGCGTACCCCTTTCCCCTGAGATGTCGACTAACCTTCTATTTCATTAAAAGGCCTTACAGCGCTAGGACCCCACGAACCAAGGTTCTCGACACCGAATGGACCAAAATCATATTCGGAGCCTAGAACCCTGTATTTGCATGCCTTAGGTTTTTGCAGCCTCTTCACAAGCCGCAACAGCTCTGTTGTTGGTTCCATATAGATGGGAAGGGGCCAACGTGTCTGAACAGGTTGCAGCCCATACTAGCACCCGGCCCATCTTCCATGGAATGAAACTCATACCGTCTGGTCTCTTGCCATCGTCTCTTGCAATACCAGTCGGCTCAAGTAGACTTGGCACTTGACGGTGGCAAGGGACCGGCGTATGATATCATTAAGTGCGGCATGTCTCGAGAAGCGGCCTGCACTTTTTTGGCATACCAGTCCACGATGTCCTAGCTTGTCGACATCACTGCAGACATTTATGAGGAGCGCAGACCGGGACCATGAGCCGTATACAGGTTGCGATTCGGAGCGTGTCAGGCTCAAGAAATGTTCCTGTATTTGACGAAGGGTACGCATGAATATATGGGTATATATGGGTGTGTGTATATATGTGCGTGTGTGTCTGTGCGTGTGTGTATGTGTGTGTGTTTGTGTGTGTGGGATGCGGGCGCAGCTCTTCTCAACGAGCATGAAAGTATCTCGGCGAAGGCTAAAACGCGAGAGATGTGTGGTCCGTGCACACAAATTTTTGTTTTATAATATCTCATCATTGGGAAATAATCTTTCGTGTGACTCAGTGATAGTTCCCTAGCACTTGCCGTAACAACAGTCAGTATTGTGTGCGTGACCCTTGCTAGAAATTGCCTCTCCTCTCGGCGATAACGTGCTAAAAGTTAAAACAGCCAACACCGCATCATTTGCAGAAAATGACTTATAAACTTTAATAAAATTAATCTTAAAAATGTCGGTATAGAACCCTTTTCACAAATCCATGTTCCCCTGGAATATGTATTGAACTAATTTGACAGATCGTCTCTGTTATATTTGTTACAATGATATGTCGTTGTTGGATATAACTTGCTTTTTTTGTAAAATTCCTGTCCGAGAATGATTCCAAACATCTAAACTGATACAAGATATAGTAGCGTCAACCAGCGATCTCTACCTTAAGCACAAAGAACTAGCGAGAAAGTGTTCGTATCGCCATCGTCAAAATTTCTACGGAAGGAGCTTGTTTTTTCTTACGGCCCATAGGGGCGCAGGTTTTTCACTTAGAATTTAAATTCTAGTATAAAGTGTACGAAACTCATGTTAAACTTGATATAAGTTGCATTCATACATAAATACGTACATTACACTCCTTGTTTTGGCAGTCGTAACAAATAATAGTAAGAGTACTGCAGTAATAGTAGAGTAGAGTAGAGTAGAGTAGAGTAGAGTAATAGTACATTACTGCAGTGGCCAGTATATGGGACATTTATGGACGAACGCGTAAATATGTGGCCAAGGCTTGTATAGTACTTTTATGAAATAATGCCTTAGATTAAAACAAAAAGGGTAGATACGGTACGCTCATACTTGTATCAAACAAAAACTGATCCCACGGCAGCGCGAACGGGACGGCGAGATCCGCGTCACTGCATTACCGACCCGAACGAAACACCACTAGGCATGCGTCCGATATATCAAAACGAATCCAAAATCCGATTTCAAACACAAATCGATACCGAACGATTTCTCAACAAGAAAATCCGATTTCAGAAATCTAACCGAACCAAAACGCTAGCGATCTAATACCACAAGTATCCAAATGTAAATCGGATTCGAAATTCGTGCTTTCGTTTTCAGAAGTCAGATTTCGTGCTCGGAAGTCCGATTTCGATTTGCTGTTTACGGAAATCTATTGCTCTTCTCTGAGGCGGGATTATTTATCACTGAAAAGATATGTCGTCTAAAAACATCAAAAGTCGAGCACCTTACATTTTTGGACGCTAACCTGAAGTAATTAGGTTTGATTTTGTAAATGGTTTGAAAAATAATAAAAACAAACAGAAAAACAAAAAAAAATACTAAAAAAATATGTAAAAAGAAATCATTGTATAAAAGCCGATTTTTAAATGCGCCGCAAAAGTTTTACTCTTAACCCTAAACATAACTTTTCTGCTAGTCCTAAGCCTAGATTTAAAGCATGAAGGAAAATCGCGAAAATCTACGAGTATCCTTGCTTCCTACAATTAATTGTTTGTGATTGTCGTTAGCTAATAAAACCAAATCATAACACAAA